TGGCTCTGCCCGAGACGAAATACGACTGCCGCCATTGAACGGTGAGTGGCTCGGTAACCGTTTCGACAAGCCGGCCGGACTCGTACTCACAACCTTGGCGTGCACAGACAAACATATTAGCAGGCATGTAAAAGACCAGAATAAAGAGGGTATACGGTCGAACTTTGGGTGACAAGTGCAAGAGCGAGGATGGCATATAAAGTGGATTTCGGTCAGCTTCCTTCGCATAACCACTCGTGGATTCGGCTGTTGTGGTCGGACTGGTCAACAAGCGGCGTTAGTACCAAAGTGGGTTCCCGCAATCCTCTGAGTGGGTGAGTAGATTTTATTTGGCTTTTCCTCCAGAACAGACTGTTTCCATCCAACCTAGACGGCAGTTTCGACGTCTACCAGCATCCTCAGCTGGCTTAGCAACCGGACCGAAATATCCTCGCTCGGTAACACAGTCTCAGGAACCAATGGGCTGCAGGGCGAGCCAGGTTCTTAACAAATCACATTTTTGGTACGGGTCTAGATTAGACAAACACATATTTGCCATCACTTAAGTTGCATACGAGTCTGGTTTGAAACTATCCGAAATTCTCGACTAAAAGCCTAATCAGTTTCTGTCTCTTAGCTTTAGGAATCAGAATGGCTTGAGGATACTTTCGAGGAGTGCTCGCACAAATGAAAAGGCATTAACGCCAATAAAAATGAAAAAAGAATGGAGAAATGGGAGCAGAATAAAGAGTATGAGGAGTATAAGGATGTGAAGAGGAGGAGGAGGGACGCAAGTACAATAAACAGGAAGCGAAGGAGTAGGATGAGAGCTGTAGACTTCATTAAATCAAACTTCAAATGGTAGGACTTGAGGCAAATCCATGTTTGACCTGTTCAGCTATTACAATGTAATATGAGATGAACTCACCCTATTTATTGTAAAGTGATGAAAGACTGGTAGAATAATTTTCCCACAATCATATAATTAAGTCACGTTTCCATTGAATTTCACATTGCTATTTAGGAAAGCAAGGCAATGTGAAATTCAATGGAAACGTCAGCTCTGCTCATATCATTGTGGGTAAATTATGCTACCAGTCCTTCATAACCTGAAACGAAATTGGGTTAAAACATCTCATACTACTGATTTACTGATAGTCTCAAAACTCTACAGCAAAAATTCGTTTGCTTCATCGACAATCACACCAAAGGATGTGTTTTGAAAATAGGCCTGGGCCTACTTGAAATTCACATCTGCCCCGTGACGCAAGGGCCCTCATTTTGGGAAAATCCGACTTACAGCGCTTCATTACCTTAAACGAAATTGGGTTAAAACATCTCATACTACTGATTTACTGAGAGTCTCTAAACTCTACTCATATACGAAAAATATTACAAAGTAGTCAAGAATTTCACTTAGACTAAGTTGAATCAGATGAAGAAAATGCGACATTTGATTTCGCCCACAGCCATCCAACTTTATTTCCTGAAAATGTTTCAATCCTCTCAACAGCTCAGCAAAACTCGAACTCGATCACGCTGGCAGGACATGCATGCATTACATTGGAGGCTAAACTTCACCGGCAGTAGATTTTTATTGTTGGCGTGTCGATGAGGCAAACGGATGGATGAACTTTACCATACAATTTCACATAAACCCGCCTCACAAAAGGGATTCTCCTCCCAGCTCAAGTGTGCCCCAGCTTCGACCTCGCCCAATGTCGTTGGGGCAGGTGGAGGCTTCAGTTCCCTCCAGGCCGGAAGAGAATTTTTGTTTCGAAGAAGACTGGAAATAGGACTCAAACTAACTCAAATCGTTGTAAGAAAATTCAACTGCCACTCATTCATTACTTCAAACACATGAAAATAAAACTCGATTTTTGCCATCACACTCACCACATTACTTATATTCGTATAAAGTAGCCTTCTAAACCATCGCCAAATCTTGCGCTTATTTAAATGTCAAAATTGGCTTTGCGATTTTTTTCTAATTGACGAGCTTGCAAATATTTCAGTCACTAATTGTGTTGGACAGTCGTCAGGAGCAAACTCCTAATCGGTCCGTTCTCTCTCGCCACTTTCGCCCCTCCCGCCACAGTTTCTATTACAACACCGACCTGAGGCGATGCGAACCCTTCAACTACTCGCCCCAGTGCCACCTCGTCGCCCTGCACGGAGTCCGTGCCCCGAAATTGCTGGTGCCCTCGCGCAACGTCTTCCCCAACGCCGCCGTCTGTAGGTCCGTCTGCCAGGACTCGTGGCCGTACTCGAGCTCAGGCAACCCGGTCGTCAGGACGATGGTGAAAGTGCGAAGAAGCCTCGGCCACGGGCCAGAAATGGCCGACGACCCTGCGGACCCCTCGAGCCCCTCGGACCCCTCGGACCCCTTGGACCCTTCAGAACCCTCGGATCATTCGAGTGGACCAATGGCAGCGACCGTAGCAGTGGCCGTGGGTGGGCGGGCCATGGGCAAACGGAGGGTCTGTCACGTCTCCGCCTGGCAGGCCTGGGGCCCGTGCCAGCCAATTGCGAGCCGTCTGTCCGTCGTCAAGCCGCACCGACACACCGACAGCCC